TTAGAATTGCATGTCAATTAAACTGAATAATCTTGGTTTATCTCCAGGGCCTCATCATGCATGGATTGAGTTCACACATGCCTTGCTTGAGCAGGGAGTTGAACTCAGACCTCTAAGGTCCCTTCCAATATAACAATCTTACAAAGAGTGCTATTCTCCTTCCAGAAAGCAATAATGGTGGGAAAACAAGCTATGATTCCACTGAGCCTTACATATGAAAGAGTCCTTTGAATAGTGGATGTTTAAGGCTGTGGACAGGAAAACCCATCTTGGAAGGTCTCCACGCAGAGGCAGTGGCCCACACAAGGCTTCAGGCATACCATGAAGTCTTGGTGGGCTGGAAAACCAAATCTGCAGAAACTTGAGTTACCCCAAAATATATTTATTACCTTGACAAGTTCTGCTGATTTTGACAGAAATGCAGAAATGAACACACGTGATACGTGAAGGCAGAACCAAGTCCTAATCTGTCGCAAGAGAAGCCCCAAGAAATTGGGAAGAGGTGGAATTTCAGTTTCTGTCCTTCTCGACAGAAGACATCTAGGGCTCCTTCAGTTCCAAAGGCAGATTTGGTTTAGCTGGTCTGATGTGGATCTGGAAGAAGGTAGGTTCTCCTGTTGAGAAGGGGGCTGGACTAGAAGACCTTCAAGATCCCTTCCAGCTCCTATCCTATCATCTTCCTATCTTGTTTTCTTTTCTATTTTTTTCTATTTTCTATTCTCTTCTATTCACAAGTTTTTCAAGAGATCATACACGGTTCAGAATCCTTCCGTAGATCTTTTCCCACTGGAAGCTGCTTCCTGAATAACAATATCTTCATGGCAGTAGCCATAGATTCTCTGACCATCAGATGTTCCCCGGGAGTTTCAAGTCACTCCGCTCACCCAGATCCTGCATTTGATACACCTGAAGACCACAGCAACTGATTAAGAAAAGCCCGATATCCAAAATGAAACAACTGTCCCCAAATCCTCCCTTTCACACTGGACGCCCTCAGCCAGTGAACCCAGCTGCACCCTCCGGGGCCCCCCTGCTTGGTCCTGAAAGGGCTGCTCTGCCCACGTGTTGAATCTGTCTTTGTAGCAAGTAAACGTCCTCCTGCCGGGTGAGCTTCCTGGGCTGGTGGGACAGGCCTTCATGGACCCTTTCAGGGTTCCCCACCCACATTCAAGGCAACTCCACTCTCTGTGGCATACAAGATCTATACCGGCTGTGCTTCTTTTTGACATTTAGAGAAGCAGTGACGGAAATGGCGTGCCCGCCCATCTTCATGTTCTCTCCAGTGTGCCAGTACTGCCCACAAGTTCTTCTCTGTGACAGTTCCCAAATGAGTTCAGGTCTTTTCTGCAGGCGTCCCACCAAAAGCAGCACAAGCCCAGGCCTTTTCCATTAGTGCTTCTCTGAGTCACATTGTTCTGACCCAGGCTTTGTAAACCTAATTATTCACAAGCTTGTTTTAAAAGCAAAACCTATTTTATTGCAACCCTGGGAATTGTTTTCATTCCCAGCCAAAATTAATCTTAAACAGTTCCCCAAGATAAGCACACACCTTTCAGTTCTGTGAAATGCTGCCAAAAACAGAAGTATCCAATTATCTAGAAAAGAAGCCAACAAAAGTACAAGAAAAAAACCAACCAAAGTACACAAAGCTTCGAGGAGGACTCGGAACTGATCAAACTACTTTGCTTCCTGCAAAGGTTTCATCATCTTAGCCTGTCCTTCATCCCTTATGGGAGGGGCAATCACCTCCCAGCCTTAATCCCAAGTCGGCCTTTTTGTTTCAGCTGCTCTCACCTTCTAGCAGCTCTGCGCATGCACGCACTGAGAACAGGCTCCCCTGGGTCCTCTGCCTTGCTGCTGCCAGGCTCCAAAGGCAGCACCCCACTCCCAGATAGTCCTGGCCCCATCTCTGCATCAGACACAGGGCCCTCGCCCGAGTCCTCCTCAGACTCCCTGACTGGTCCCCTTTCTTCCCCACTGTCTGATTCTGCTGCAGTCTGCACCGGCTGCTGGCGAACCACAACACACACATCCAGAGCAGGAAGACAATTCTTTTACATATATATTGCAGTCCTTCGAGTCTGCAGAAGACATGCTGTCATGTACTTACTTCATCTGTGGATATGGAGGTGGCTCTGCAGTCCTGCTGAAACGCCAGGATCTGGCCCAGTGGGGCACTGGAAGTCCTTTGTTTAACAACTATAGGGGTTGTTCTGTGATGCCATTCACAATTTTCTATTAATTAGTGGAGGCTTCTTAGCACAGGGCTTGTCAGAGCTTCTGTCAACAAGCTGCAGTTTCTAGGTCCCCTTGCTTCATATAGAGGCCTCTCCTTCAGTAGGAAAGTCCTACACCCAGCCTGTTCAGCAAATAGCCCCCACCCACCCCTTTGCAACCCCTCCCAAGTTCTAGCCGAAACTTCATTCCAGTCACAGGAGGAAAATCAAACGCTGGACTTGCAAAGATGATTGATTGATGTTGCTGACCAGGGAAGCTTATGTACAGTATCTTCCACCTACTGTCTTTATAAAACAGAGCCGAGGTTGATTTGGGGGAGTTTTGGTGGAGTGGAATATCTGTCTTATAGTATTGGAAACAAGCAAATAGGTGGAAGCTAGAAAAAGCATTGCTGAAAAATGCAACTGTTCTTGAAAATTAGCTTGAGTTTTAGTTGTTGGCCTTTCTCTTCTCTTTCTTCGTTTAACCATTCCCTTTCTTTCTTTCTTTCCATCCATCCACTTTTCTTCCTTCTGTTTTCTTTAGTTCTCTTCCCACTGGAGCTATCATTTTGCCTTGCTATCTCCATCCTATTTCCACCCTTCTTTCTAGCTGTTTCCGCTGGAAAGAGTAAGTGTAGTGTGTATATTTGTTTTCTATGTGTGAGAAGGAATGGGTGGTCCATGCAGATGGAAATATGCTAATTTAATAAAGGGAGTGCCTTATTTTACAGGTAATACACTTGGATCAATAGGCTTGCATTCAATTAATAAAAATATTTTTCTCTTCAGCCTGCCCATTGTTAGGCTGTGGGTTCTGCCACATACATTCGCTTACATATATCCACATGTACATACAAGCCATTTATTGGAGCATACGAATATGCAGCATAAGTTTCATCTGACTTTACTAAGAGGTGTGTAAAAAAGCTGTCTAGGTTATCAGAAACAGCGGATCACAACTATTATAAAATGGATGCAGTGCTATAATGCGCTTTGATTGACTTTTATCACCCTGGTAACTCAAATTCAAGAAGTTATTCTAAATACTACTTTATTTAATTGAAATCCTTAGTAAATGATTTTGGAACCTTTAATACATATATAATAATTTTACAATGACTTAACACGTTTTAATACATTTGTGGGTTCCAAACTATAACTAGAGGGCAACCTCACTTGCACTTAAGTTCTAATTCAACATTAGCCACAGGAGGGACCAAAAGGGGAACTAAGGACATTTCCTGACAGAACAACGATCCAGTGGACCGGCTTTCTTCAACACTGGAGAGTTTTAAGAAGAGACTGGACAAGCACTGTCCATTGTTTCTTAAAAAATCCTTTTAAATAAATTTATTTTTAAATTCTGAACATTTTAAATGTTTGCCACTTTTAAATTTTTGATCTAAATGTTTTAATTTTAGGGGAATTTTTTAAAAAACACTTTTTAACATTTTGAAAACTCTTTAATTTTTAAATGAACTAGCTGTGAAAAGAAAACATAGCCTTGGAAGAAGAATCTGATGTTGTTGTGATTTGCAAGATACGTTCCATGTATGTACTCATAACCTGAACTATACACGTACTAAATGTACATTTAAATGAATTTCTTGAAGAAAAAGATCTATTCTAGCAGCAACTCCAACCACTCTAAACCTACAAAATGAGAAGCTCCAACCAAAGCAAGAAGACTGAACCCAAATAAGGAACAAACTGCTAGCAGAAGAAATGAACCTGTACATGAACCTTGACAGACAAACCGATGGAAACGTGTCACTCATAGAAGAAAATGACGACCAAGAGCAAATTCCCTGCTGAACAGTGCAGCCCAATCCAGTGAAGCCCCACTAGAGCTGAGCAACTGATTTCATATCTTCCTCCTGGAAAAAAAGTATGCAGACACCTGGAGCTGGAACATCACCAACTGTTCTGTTACAGGAAGAAAAGTAGTCCAAACTTTCCAAGAAAAAATGGTGAGTGTTGGGGATAGGAGAGTCACTTCTCAGGAGAACGGAATTGGCAGCCTTAAACCGGACAATCAATATAGGGAGGTTAGTTGTCTCCTTGGAGCAAATATGAAAGAAGTTGCTGAGAGCCTTACTAAAATAATAAAGCCCACAAATTACCATCCCTTCTTTTTCATGTGGGAACAAATGACAATATCAAGAGACCATGAGCAGCTCAGCAAGAAAGGTAAGGACCTAGGAGCACTTTTTTTTGCTTTTTGAACAAAAGACCAACATCCAAGGATGGAACAAAGGACTCCAGAAATAAAGTTAAGAGATGGTGCCACCAAGAGCAGTTTGGATCCCTAGACCAACCTGCACGACATACCTGAAGGGCTTCTGGCAAGGGATGGGCTGCACCTCAAAAGAACTGAGCTATTAGCTCAGTTTATCCAGGGGGCTTTAATCTAAACCTAAGGGGGGAGGGTGACCAATCTCTAGGATTTTTAGCACCTCAAGACAAAATCAAGTAAGGTAGGGAATGCTGAGGAAGGGGATGTAAAGCAAGTGACGTAGGAACTATACCCAGAATGAGCCATAATAAATAACTCATGCTTATACACTAACGCTTTAGGTTTGGGGAACAAACAGGATGAACTTAAAAGTACTAGTATATAAGGGCAGGTATTGATAGTTACCGTTACTGAAACTTGACGGGATGAAACTCATGACTGGAAAAGATATAAACTGTTCAAAAGAAACAGACTTAACAAAAGAGGTGGAATTGCACTTTATGTAGAAAACCATTACAACTTTACAGAAATGCATAAAACCAATATAATGAAAAATTACTTAGTTTTATTAGCAGGGAACATTTCAAAGATTGCTAATGTATCTAAAAAGAAGAACCAAAAAGCCACATTACCTTGTTGTTTGCATCAATCGAAGTTTCACTTGAAAGCTGATTTACACTTTTAGATTGCCAAATACATAGGGACTTAGGATAATTCCAGAGTTTAAAATAAATTATAGTCTACAATCAAAGCTTAGCATTCTTAGCATAAGACAAATATGAAAAAAAAAAAAACTTTGCCTGTAAAAACTGTGACACCCCCCCCCTCCCCACTTCTGGTAGTGAAATGTTACTGTAACTGTCTTCAATAGCATTTTCTTTTGCGTAAGGAGGGTGGTAATCAATCAGTATTTACTGATCATGCAAAGGCAAAGCCTCTTTTACGGGCAGCTCCGTTCTGCCGTTTTCGGCCAGATTCTTCAGGCGCTGCTGGCCGTCTCTTCCTCTGCTGATTCATCCTCTGTAAACAGACGTGACGGGAACGGTGTCATTCTATGACCGTCTTCTCTGCGTTTGGGGAAGGAGATGAATCAGCAATAGTAGCCAAATAAATAAGGTTTCTGTGCAATGTGTGCTGGTGCCTGTAGGAAGAAAAACAAAGCAGCAACTTAATTTTCAGAACTGCTGTTCCGGTTTCTCAAGAGTCGGCAAAGACTTCTGGGGTCTTCTCACTAAAGCAAGCTCATCTTGTATTCATGGGATTGCAGTTGAAGTCTTACACTAAGCTGCTTATTTATACACCTAATCACCTCCCAATTCTAGGACAATGTAAGCCAGTCTAGGATTAATTACAGAGGTGGTATTCAGCAGGTTCTGATCAGTTGTGGAGAACCAGTAGCAGAAATTTTGATTAGTTCAGAGAACTGGCGGTAACTTTCTCCCTGGAATAGGGAAGGAATGGAGATTTTGCATTATCCTTCCCCTACCACATCCACCAAGCCATGCCCACAGAACCAGTAGTAAAATTTTTTGAATCCCGCCACTGGTTAATTATTAACCTCCACCTGAAATAGTCTTACTAAGTTTGTTTATTCTCATCCAGCTAAGCAGAATGGAACAACTTGCCACAGAACTTAACAATTTCAATTTAATTATTTAACAGTAACCCAGCCCTTGAGCTTATCAACAGTTTTGTGCAAGAGATTTCCATTGGCAGAAGCGCATTTCAGGGGCGGCAGCAAATAATCTGCAGTATGTGACATGGAGGCCACGCTTCAGTGGAAGGAGGGTGATCCACCTGCCACCAACGGGTCCAGGCACGAACGAGCGGAATTTAAACACACATCCATCCTTCTGTCAGAATAAAAATCCTTACTGCAGGCATTCTGTGGCTCTTCCTTTATTCTGATACTCCACAATGCAGCGGATCAGCTGATCATTTTCATCCAGCAGCTGAAAGTCACAAGAGGCAACCTTACGTTACAAACGGAGCTCCTATACAAAGTCAGCACCCTCCCTCCCTACTAGAGAACGAAATACTTTGGGGAGCATTAAAAAGGCAGGATAGAATATTTTCCCTAAAGGAGAAATATGGGGAGGGGGGGAATCTTAAGGGGGGCAGGAACCAGCCCCAGTCTCCCTGCCCCAAGCAGAAACTGTGAGGAGACGGGCTTCTGGTGGTCCATTCAGAAAGGCTGGGTCAGCCAGAGACTCTACATCAGGGGTGTCCAACCTTAGCAACTTTAAGACTTGTGGACTTCAACTCCCAGAATTCTGGGAGTTGAAGTCCACAAGTCTTAAAGTTGCCAAGGTTGGACACCCCTGCTCTACATAAACAAATAAACAAGCCAAAGGTTGCCAAGATTTGCTCAGACAAACACCTAGGATTTGCACATCCCCCTTTTTGCCTATAGAACCAGCCATGACCCCTATATGACCCCATAGGGATCCAGAAGGTATAAAAACCCACCCACTCAAAAACCCCATTTTGTCAGCGACCCAGAAGCGCGCTGTGTGTGTGTGTGTGTGTGTGTGTGTGTGTGTGTGTGTGTAGGCTTTTTTTTTGTTCGTTCGTTCTTAAGGAACCTCCCGTTTTATTCTCGGCTTCCTAAGCCGCCTGACCCGAGACGCCCCTCGGGTCTCCCTCCGGCACGGCCCTCAAAGCCTGGGACGCTTGAATCCACCTCGCAGCTCGCCTGCCGGGGCTCATCCGCGGAGGCCGCGCGCCCGGGGCTGAAGCCGGGAGTCCCCCTCAGCACGATTCGCCCCTCCTCCTCCTCCGCCGGCGAGCACCCCGGGCAGCAGCGCCTCCCTGAACCTCCGCCCCACGCGGGAAGGAAGCGCGGCCAACCCGGAGCCTGGCCCGGGACCTCCCCCAATTCCTTCCCCGCGAGGAGGCTCCCTTCCCGCCGCTCACCCGTCGCAGCGTCTCCTGGTTCACCTCGGCTTTGCCGCGCAGGCGCTCGGGGACGAAGACCACCGACATGGCGCGGCCGGAAAGCCCGTTTTCCACGCCGCAAAGCCTGCCGGGACTCCCCGCTACGCGACCATTGGCTGCTCTCTGCGGCTCCCGCGCGGGAGGCCCCGCCCCCACGGGCGCTTAGAGACCAGCGATATTGTAGAGAAGCTCACCCCTATTGGACTGCTAGCTTCCGCGCGGACCTTTCGGACACCTTTTACGTCATTCGCGCCATTGAGTTCCTCGCGTCGGGTTGGCGCGACGATTGACGGTGCGAAAAAAAGTTGCGTGTGAGCGCCCCCTGGCGCTAAAGGACGCCCGGCGGAGAAAGTGCATCTTCTGGCGGCCCCGCAATGCTCAGTTGAAGCGGAGGCTGAGAAGGGACGCTGGGGCCCTTTTCCCGGGGCGAAACCCAGGGAAAAGAAGGCCGAGGGGAGGCGGGACAGCAGGCTCCAGTATTTGAGGGTCTGCCACAAAGAAAGGGCGGGGAGGCGGCAACCTATTTCCCAAGACAAGATGGAAACGGATGGAAACTAACCAAGGAGAGAAGCAACCTAGATCTCAGCAATTTCCTGACAGTGAGGTCAATCAACCAGTGGAACAGCTTCACTTCAGAAGTTGTGAATGTTCCAACACTGGAGACTGGACAGCCACTTGTCTGAAATAGCATAAGATCTCCTGCTTGAGCAGGGGGCTGGACTAGAAGACCTCTAAGGTCCCTTCTAACTCCTTATTTTATCTAAGACCTTCCCTTGGGGATCTCAGGCGTGCAAGTTTTCCTGAGCCCTGGTGCAGCAGTGGTTGCTACAGTGCAGGACTGCTGAATGCCGACTGCCTGCAATTTGGCAGTTCAAATCCCAACAGGCTCAAGGTTGACTCAGCCTTCCGCCCTTCCAAGGTGGGTAAAATGAGGGTCCAGATGGTTTGGGTCTGACTCTGACTTCTCAACATCTTCAAAGTAAAACCAAAGTCCAGTTGCCTTTTGAAAAAGTATCTTAGGGACAACCAGGACCTGGATGACTGAGAATCTTCATAGACAGCTGCTTTGTCACTGTTTACTTTATTCTATTTTCTTTTCTGTTTACACGCCTTTCCATTTTCCTTATTATTGTAAGCAGTCTAAAGTCGCCCCACGACAAGATAGGCAGCAAATGAATTTAACAAATAATAATAAAGCAACACAAAATCATGATTGCAATTTATTGATTTTACTTTGTCTACATTAACCTTGCTTATTGCAGATGAAAATGTATGTGTAGTCCCACAGATAATATGCTAATAAAAAAAAATAGGGATTGTCCGGAATTGAATAAACTTAAAATGGAATTGCAGGAGAAGGAAGAAAAAGAATATTATACAGTCTTGGGAGAAATGGTATTGTAAGCACTGGACTTTACCCCTTCAACCGAAAAGAATGAACTTCTGAAAGCTAGGTACTTCAAAAGGAATTCTTTATTGAAAGGAAGTGATCCAGGTACTAATCAAAGCAGAATCTAAGATGCTTCCAGGCATACAGTAAAAGATAAAGGGAGTTAGAACCCCTCCCCTTATTCTAATGTGGATTTAGTCAAAGAACCAACATGTGGCTAGTCCTCCAGTTGTATATCATGTGCAAGTTATACAGATTCAATATAAGATTTAAGTTATTCAGGTTACATCAAAAAGGATTACTTGAACCAACTCCTCGCCCCCTTTTTCTTTCATTGAAGAATGGCAGATACACGAATCTGACAGGTATGTTTTGTTAGATAACAGGAACAAAAGACAATGCAAAATGTAAATGATGTACATATGTGTGTTTGTGCATAGATACATCTATATGTATATCTATATGTCTGTCTGTCTGCATGTAAATGAATATGGAAAAGCCAATGCCACAACGTACGGCAAAAAACTAAATATGATTTGTTTTTAAAACTGTAAAACTTTAATAAAATTTCTTTTAAAAAGAAACCAGTTTAAAGACATGCATTCCCACCCGTTTTCCCATCTGCTGCCACACATTGGCAACTCACAACATACATTGCAAAAACAAAAATCATAAAATGCCCATTAAAAAACCCTGTTCAGCTTCAGGTTTTTTTCACAGCTTTCCGAAGGCAAATCTTTGCCTCAGGAAGATGGAAAGGGCAGAAGTTTAACAAGTAACGTTATTGAGGAGCGTTTGCCGGAGATGGAGCCGTCAGGAAAGGTTCCTCCGGTGACTTTGAGCCTCCCTCTCTTCGTCGTAGGGAGCCAGAAGCGGCTTCTCCGGAGACGGCAGCTCCAGAGGGGCAGCCTAGCCGCCCAGCCGCTTCCCGCAGGTTTTATTATTATGGGGCGCCTTCCGTTCAAACGGGGCCCAGAAGGGCGAGGGGGGGCATCTTCCAAGGCTGCCCTCTTGCCAGGCCCCCTTCTCGGGAGGGCCAGGAGCAGGGGTCCCCAAGCTTGGCCCCTTTAAGACTGGTGGACTTCAACTCCCATAATTCTCCAGCCAGCTTAGCTGCCGGACGGGGAAGCTTCGCTGTGGCTGGAGAATTCTGGGAGTTGAAGTCCACCAGTCTTAAAGGGGCCAAAGTTTGGAGGCCTCTGGCCAGGAGACAGAGGATTGGTCAGGATTGGTCGGGTGAGGCCGGTCGAGGCCTACTTCCTCTTCGGCGCCTGTTTGGGGGGCGGGGCGGGACGCGACACCCAAGAGGCGGCTCCGGACGAGGCACAGCCGGGCCGGGCTGCGCGGGGCTGAGGAGGCTCTTCTTTCCGGCGGCTCCGCGCGCGAAGCTCCGCCACGACCGGAAACGACCCCTCGCTCAAGCCCCGCCCCCTCCAGGCGCCGCTTCCGTCAACAGCCTCGCCCGCTGTTTTCGCAAAGCCTGTCCTCCGCAGAAGCGTGATGTTGCAGCGCCTTGGCGACTCTTAACTTTTCTTAAGTCTACGGGAATCGCAGCCCTTTTCTCGCGCCCTTCAAAATCCCGTAGAGCGATTGGTCGACGTCTCCTGCAAAAGGCGGCCCTCGCCTTGATTGGCAAGCCGGCAAGCCAAAGAGAGCGCCAGAGAGGCGTGCCCGGGGAGGGGCCACTTCGTGCGCGGTCTGTTGCCAGGGCGTCGGTTGTCCGGCAGCGGCCAATCGGGGCGCGGGGTTCGCAGAGGGCGCCCGGGGCCGTTCCCCGCAGAAGCGCCGCTGCTCCCTCAGGTGAGTCTTCAACTGGCGGGCCGGGCCGGGCCGGAGGTTTCCCGGTCTCAGCTCTCCGGGGGTTGCCGCGCCGTTCAGCGGCCGGCGGAACTCCCCGCCACCAGACGTCGAGGCGGAGGGCGGAGTTCAGGCCGCGGCCTCCCGCGCGCTTGTGGGCTCTGCGCGGTTTTGCACTTCCCAGCCGCAGCCGCGCTTCCTGGCGGGCGCTGCGGCGGAGCCCCGAGGCTTCCCGGGCGGCCCTCTCAGCCCATCTCCTCCCTTCTGCAGAGCGGCCTCCGCGCGCCTGGAAGGGAGACCGAGGCGTCGCCACGGATGGTTCCCCGCTGACGAAGAAGCCGCCGCCGCTGCTGCCCGCTCGGGAGCCGGAGCCCTGGGGGGCTGAGCCCCCGCGCTGCCGGACGGGGAAGCGACCATGGCGGCGGCCGTCGCCACCAAGACGACCTGGAAGCTGCGTGAGTGGGGCTCCCTCTTGGGCGGGGCCCCGGCTTCTCCTCTCGCCTCGGCCCGCCCTGGACGATGGCTGGGGGGGGGGCGGGGGGCGGCTCTTTCCCATCGACGGGATGGGGAGGTCGGGGGAGGCAGAGAGAGAGAACCACCCTTGGCCGCCGCTGCTGCTGCTCCGGGACGGGCAGGCTCTCCGGCTGGAGGCCAAGAAGGAGGCAACGGCTCGATCGGGTTTCCCCGGCATTAGTGAAGCTCTTTAGGCCAGGGGTCTCCCACCTTGGCCCCCCTGAAGGCCTGGAGGGCTTCAACTCCCAGCAAAGCTGGCTGGAGAATTCTGGGAGTTGAAGTCCGCCAGGCTTAGAGTGGCCAAGGATGGAGACCCCTGCTTTAGGCTGAACTTGGGAGTCTATTTATATTTATATTTATTTATATGGACTGTTTCCCAGTATGATTTGATTGCTTGTTGTACCCTATGACTATTAAGTGTTGCATCTGATGATTCTTGATGAATGTCTTTTTATGTGCACCGAGAGCATTTGCACCAAGACAAATTCCTTGTGTCTCCAATCACACTTGGCCAATAAAGAATTCATTCATCCATCCATCCATTCATTCATTTTCCTGGTAGGCCAAGCAGTACTAAAGAAAGAAGCCCCTCCAGTCTACTATCCGGAGCCCTGGAACTAAGGAAAGATGCTAATAACTTGCACTTGCTTTCTTACCTAGAGGAAATCATTGCCCACAGCAGCAATGTTTCTTCCCTCGTCCTGGGCAAAAGTTCAGGCCGGCTCCTGGCAACAGGCGGAGATGATTGTCGAGTTAATATCTGGTCTGTTAACAAGCCCAACTGCATAATGGTAAGACTTGGTTCACTTCTTTGGGATATGATGGAAGAGATGGGCCCAAAGAAGCTCTGAGTTTGTCTTTCTTCAAAAGAGGGGAGGAGCCCTTGTTTCTTCTGCCTTTTTAGTTATGGGCTCATTTGACTGTTTAGGTCAGGGGTCCCCAAACTTGGCAACTTTAAGACTTGTGGACTTCAACTCCGGCTGGAGAATTCTGGGAGTTGAAGTCCACAAGTCTTAAAGTTGCCAAGTTTGGGGAGCCCTGGTGTAGGTGCTGTGCTGTGCTTTTGAGAGTGGCCCATGGTGTTCTGGAACAAGATGCTTAACACGTGGACTAAGGCTGATTTGGACTGGTTTCACAATGAGGACTGGTTACCATGTTTTCCTGACAAGATTGCATTTGGGGGGATTCAAATCACATGCTAAGCCAAAGACAGAGAAGCCACATTATGGCTTTGTGAAAGGAAATGTTCTGTCTCTTTCCCACAATATATTTTTTTTAATGTCTGTTCCTGCATGATTTTTAAAAGGGTTTTCTTTCTTTCCTATCTCCACATAAACTCTTAGTGAATAAAAGCCACTGTTTACGAACTGTGTTGCAGGATTGATCCTATGTAACTGTCTTGTATTCTCGCTGATGCCCCTTTAGTTTG